GGGGAGTTGTTTTGTGTTTTGTTTTCAAAGGGAGGCCATAGGTATAAGTTTTTCTTTTTAATTAGTGGATTTTCACCCCTACACTTTAAAGTCAAATGATATTTTTCTCAAAATTTCATTTTCCCAAGTTTGCTGTCATGAAGTGGCTTCCGACTCCTAGCGACCTGTGAAGGGTTTGAGGCTGTCCGTCTTCATGGAAGCAGACAGCCTCACCTTTCCACCACAGAGGCCGGTCCGTTTGAATGGTGGACTTTGCCGTGAGCAGCCCAGCGCTGACCCAGTGCTACCACCTGGGCTTCTGCGAAGATGTACTGGGAAGTTCACAAATAGTAAAGAGTTACCACTCCAAGGTCATCAGTGTACTGTATGCACTGACTGTGACCTAGTAAATAATACCGTTTTAAAATTATGTTTACATATTTAATAATACATATTCAAAAATAATGCATTTTTAAAAATTATCCTGAATCTTCATCTATCAGTATGTATTTATGTAGAGAAACACTAAACTAGACTACTATGCAGTATTTAACAATGTAGGCCCATGATTTCCATGAACTCAGTCTAAGTGCTAGTTCCGTGACTGACTCTGTGGCCTTGGACCAAGCGACTGACATCTTCACACCTTAAAGATAAGTAAAAATAAATAATAGGTCCAACCTCTTAGAGCAACAGTTAGACTTAGATAAGTTACATAAAAAGCACTTAAGCATTCTAAAGCATTCTCCAGTGCTTTTAATGTAACTTATATAAGTCTAACAGTTACTCTAGGAGGTTGGACCTATTATGACCCCAGTCCTGCCTTTCAGTTCTGGCTAGACCAGAGCATGTACACTGGTACAGATAAGGGCTCATGACACATGCAATCCAGGTCAGATAAACCCCTTGGGAACAGAAATGGGAGTATCGGATACCAGGAGGGTAGTGAGAAAGAGTGGGGGCGGCGGCGGGCAGGAGGGGAGGAAGGGGGAATTCATTGCAATGATCAACACATCACACACACACACACACACACACACACACTGGGAGGGACAAACAACAGAAACGTGGTTTAAAGGCGACAGCGGTCATTGTAAGATATGAAAATAATAAATTATAAGTTATCAAAGGATCACAAGGGTGGGGGAAGGAGGGAAAAAAGAGGAGCTGATACCAAGGGCTCAAATAGAAAGTAAATATTTAGAAAATGATGATGACAAAATATGTACAAATATGCTTGAAACCATTGATGAATGGATAATTATAAGAGCTGTAAGAGCCCCCAATAAAATGATTTTTAAATTTAAAAACCAGGAAACCCAAGGAGGAAGTGGGAAGAGTAATGCTACACTGTTGGGATTGCAATCAATGACATGCAACCAAATGGGAGTGAAAAAAACATAACCAGATCTGCTTTAAAAGCCCCAGCCCGGTTCACAATAAAAGTTGTTAAAAATATTTTTGCTATGTATTCTATTTAGAGAAAGTGAAAGAGCAAATTCACTGCCAGTAAGTCAATGGTGACTCGTTGTGGCACTATGAGACAGGGTAGGATGGCCCCTGTATGTTTTCAAGGCTATAACTCCTTACAGGAGCAGAAGTACCATCTCTCCCACAGAGTGGATGGTGGGTTTGAACTGCCAACTGTGGGGTTAGCAGACCAGTGTATAACATACTATGCTAGGAGGGCACCTTGGTTCATAGAAAACAACAATTTAGCCATGGAGTTAATTCCGACTCAGGGACTCTGGAAGACAGGGTAGAACTGCCCCTGTGGGTTTCTGAAACCAACTCTTTATAGCAATAGAAAGCCTTGTCTTTCTCCCAGGAAGAAGTTGATGGTGTTGAACTGCTGCGTTTGTAGTTAGTGGCCCAATGCATAATCAGTAGGCCACCAGGGCTCCTTTGGGTCATAGATAGTACCCTCAAAATGCTATCTAATTTGTGTCCTCAACAAATGTAACTTGCCATGTACATTACTGGGAACACTCTCATTTAAACTCGACTACCACACCCATCGTGAGGCTTTTAGGTACTGTTTGGGACAAAGTGGATTTTTAGCTCCCTTCTCTTTGTAGATGGCTCAACGTTACTACTTAACCAAGATTTCATGCCTTTAAATGAATAGTTTAAAAATAGTTAAACATCCAAAAATGTCAAACGATAACATAATGAATACCTACATCCCATCACTAACCTTGATAAGCTAGCAGATATGACATTCTCCTGGGTATGCCTCCCTAACCTATTCACATATTAGCAATGATCCATGACTTTAAATTGCTTGAAAAGTCATGGCTTAAAATGATAAAAATTGCTCAACTTATTGACCTATATTTGAAGTGTTTTACATTTCCACCAGTCTTTTGAAAGCAGAGTTTAAAAGATGATTGGATGGGATTGCCTGAGTCTGTGCGTCTGGTATAGGAGAAGAAAAAAAAGGTCATTTCAGCCCCCATGGACTCTATCTGAATGGCCACTGAACCACCCTGGTGACTCCAAGTCCGAGTTCCGCCCACTTTAAGGTGCTTACAAATCACCCAGGGAGCTTGTTAGAATGGTTTGGTGCGTTTGGATGGGGCTCAGGAGTCTGCGTTTCTTACATGATCTGCTCCATGGAAGATGCTTTAAGTAGCGAGGTCCAGCAATTAAAGTCCAGCCAAATCAGTCCTTCAATTCTAGGCATTGTCCCAGGCATCACAGAGATGCTGCTGAAAGGCAAATGTGGCAAATTAATTCTCTGGCTGAGTAGCATCCCATTGCCTCCAACACAGATTTCCAGCATCTTGACTCTGAATTTAAGCCCTTCAATAACAAAGCCCTCCTTTCGAGCATGCACCCTTATTGTTGTTGTTAGGTTCTGGTTAGTTGGTCCTGAATCCTAGGGACTCTACATACAGTAGGGTGAAACACTCATGGGCCTGACACCAGTATCACAATTGTTCTGTGGAGCCCGGTGTTGCTGGCATTGTGTCCATCTACAGCCTTCATGGTCTTCCTCTGTTTCTCTGCCCCTCTACTTTACCAAGCAACATGTCCTTTTCCAGTGACTGGTTCCTCCAGATAGCATGTCCAAAGTACATGAGATAAAAATCCAACCATCCTTATTTCTAAGGAGTATTCTGGCTGTCCGTCTTCCAAGACAGATGCGTTTGTTATTCTGGCCGTCCATGGTATATTCTTCACCAGCGCCATACTTCCAATGTCTCAATTGGTTTGCCGTCTTATTTATTGACTCTCTTGCTGTCACATGCACACAAGGAAGCAGATACCCTGTATTCGGTCGATGCTAACGTCTCATCATTTCTTCAAAGGCATTGCGAACTTTTATGCCTCAGTATCTTCATACATAGTACAGATATCATTTCTGCTGTGAATACCCCAGACTCCATTTGATTCCACAAAGCCCATGTCTCCCTCAGAAGCACTCTCCCACATACCACAGACTGCTTCTGAAGACAGAGTGAGGTGGCCATCTCTGTTTTCCCAGCACTTAACACAAAGCTGACATGCGCTACATATTTGAGTGTGGCAGAAGGAATGAACTCTTTTTACTACCATCAGGGGGG